ATAGAATAGAAAATTAGAATAGAATAGACCAGAACAGAGTAGAGTAGGAATAAATGGAATAGAAAATTAGAATAGAATAGAGTAGAGTAGAATAGAATAGAATAGAGGAATAGACTACAACAGAATAGAGTAGAGTAGAGTAGGAATAAATAGAATAGAAAATTAGAATAGAAATAGAATGGAATATAGAATAGGATTAAGGCAGGGGTGGGCTGCTACGGGTTCACCTGGGTTTAGGTGGACCCATTGCTAACATTATGGCTGGTTCACCGAACTGCCAAATCCCACCCCATAGAACCTTTCTTGACCCAATTGTTAAGGGACTCACTGCCACTGTTAAGTTAGTCAGGCAGTTGCTAAGGTAAACCGGCTTCCCCATTGACTCCGCTCATCGGAAGTTCGTCAGAGGGGACTCTTGGGGCCCGGGGACACACGCCACCATCATAAATATGAACCAGTGGCCAAGCCTCTGAATTTTGATCACGTGACCCTGAGCAGCTGCAACAGTGGCAAGTCTGAAAGTCACTTTTTTCTCAGTGCTGGGGTAGCTTTGAACCGTCACTGCATGAACTGTTGTAAGCCTGTTGTAAACTAGGCTTCTCATTAGTCAGTCAGCATCCCTCCTAGAATGTGGCGGTGTCAGGAGATAAATCACAGTATAATGTATTAACTGGTCTTGTGTTGATCAGGTATAAAATAATGACATACTAAGGCTGTGATGGCGAACCTATGTCACACGTGCCGGAAGTGGCATGCAGAGTCATCTCTGCCGGCACGCGAACCGTCACCCCGGATCAGGTCTACTGTGCATGCATGCGCACCTCCCGCCAGCCAGCTGATTGTCGAGTATCTGCCGCGCATGCGTAGGGGGCGGGGCACATGCAAGAGGTGCATGCGCACAGAGATGTGCAGCGTGAAGGGGGGGTCGTGTGTGCATGCACAGCGGGGTGGGAGGTTGTGGGTACATTGCATTATGATTGCAGGCACGTGCGCGCGCGCACTTTCAGCACGCGATGACGAAAAGGTTAGCCATCACTGTATTAAGCTGAGAAAACTATGGCTAACTTCCTACTGTTCTAACCCGGCATGACAAACCCTCTCTAATTAAATCAACGTTTCCTTTATTAGGAAATAATACAAAAGTTTCCGGGCAAAAGGTTTCTCTCTCAACAAAGGCAAATAAGTCTGTCCGGCAGGGAGACGAATAGTTGTCTGCCACATATCTCCAGGGCTAGCAGCGATGGCTCTTCCTTCCCAAAGACCGGCTCATAGATTCCCACTGCTCTCCTCTCCTCTACCTCCTGCACATCTGTTTGTCAGGCACTGGACCCTCCTCTTCCTCATCAACCACCTCCAGACCTGGAGGATGTTGACTCTCCATCCGAGGGCTGACAGACAGCCCTGGCTCCGCCTCTGTCTCTCTCTATTTCTCTGCCAGCTCCATTTTTTCTTCCCCCTCGGTTGCTGACCTAGACTCCCACTCCTTCTCCTTGTCTGATCTGGCTGCTGGAGGGGCCGATGGGCCAACAGGCCACAACATTGAGGATGATTTGGCGACAGTCATAATTAAAAATGACTAAGACAACCATGGTTGCATTTGTTTAGATCAAAGAAAGGAGTGGGATTCTACTGGTTTGGACCAGTTTGGGTGAACCCCTAGTTCCGACGATCAGCTAGCAGTGAACCAGTTTGCTTCGGCGATCATGTGGGCTTGCTCGCCCACCCCGTGCTGTACTTACCTATATCCTCTCAGCTGATTCGTGCTGCAAAGCGGATTGCCGCTCCTCAGCTGTGTTACGCTCCAGTAGTAACATAGCAGGTAAGTGTTTTTAGAAAGCTGTGAAAGGTTGCGATCACAGAACCAGTTGTTACACCAGCAGCATCCTACCTCTGATCAAAGAAGAATCCCAATGATCATAGTAGCCAAGCAAACTTGGACTATTATTTTAAACATGGTTGCTATTACTCCTTCCAAATTACACCTGCCACATTGGGACCCAGTATTATTTCCCAGGAACACACTCAAAACACAATTATGTAACTGTTGACCCTTGAGGGCGTGTTTACACTCAAGTGAATTTTTTTATTTGCAGAAATCACCTTAATAATCAAGTGCCTGGGAAAGGAAGGCCGCCGTGACAGTTGTAATGACGTCAAATTGTAGATACTAGACACAGAAAACATGGTGTCAACAGTTTCTTAATTGGGAAAGGAGTAATAAAACGTAGCTAGGGAGATAAATACATACAAATAGTTTAAATACTTTTTTTTTAATTGCTAGGCCGTGAGAAGCCTAGAATCAACTTAGGAAAAGGCCTTTTATAATAAGCTTAGATATGCAATAGTGGAGAATATCTGTAGCTCAGGTGACGGATGAGGGCGAAGGTTCATTCTCTGAGTTTGTGGGTTGGTATTCGAATGTTTCGTTACCAAGTTGGGTAACATCAGCAGAATTGGGGCGTGATTTTCGGTGTTCTTCTGTTCTTCATAAGGGCTTCATGTGGTCAATAGGGCTTGGGATGGAGATGGGAAGGTCATGTCAGGTGATGGAACTTGTGATGGGTCAGGTGTGGGTCATGTCAGATGAGGGTCTGAATAGAATTAACAATAATAGAATAATAGAATAATTAATAGAATAATAGAATGATAGAGTGATAATAGAATCTATATATATAAAAGTGAAATACCCCTCACACATCATCACAAAATCTCCAGATCCATAAAGCCTACAAACTTGAAATTTGGCACGTAGGTTCCTCTTGGCTTCTAGGGGCTCACTAAGAAAGGATTTTTCGAAATGGCCATCAGAGCATTTAGAGTATTTCCTATATTGTTATTATTATTAACACACTCTGATGCTAAGGAGTTCTACTCCCCCTCCCCACCTGAAAAGAAATCTCTTCCAAAGGCAAAACCCAAGCAGAGGAGAGGAGTTTCAGTTTCAATTTCAGTTTTACTTTCACAGCAGCTTTAGTACAGAACAGTTGAGCTAAGCCACGCCCAGGGTCCTTGCTCACATAGCAAATACTGTTTCAGTTTCCAAGCAGCCCTCAACTTTCTCACACACTGAACAGGATGCTAGCCAGATGAATAGCGATGGATGCAGAGGCAGAATTTCCCTCCCCCCTATTTTCCTTCCTCAAAACTAAGCCTGACCACATCGTTTTGTAGCAAAGCATGGGTATCGAGCTAATAATAGAGTAATAGAATAATAGAGTTATAAGGGATTTGGGGGGGTCTTCTGTTCCAACCCCTTGCTTAGGTAGGAAACCCCACACCCCGTTCAATCCCTTCTTGAAAGCCTCCAGTGAGGGAGCACCCACAACTTCTGGAGGCCAGTCGTTCCACTGATTCATTGTTCTGACTGTCAGGAAATTCCTCCTTAGTTCCAGGTTGTTTCTCTCCTCGATTAGTTTCCATCCATTGCTGTCTTGTGATAGGTTTTGTGATGGGTCGAGTGTGGGTCATGTCAAGTGAGGGTGGACTCTGTACCTGGAGTCGAGGACTCTAATATTTCAGGTAGCTTAAATGACTGAACGGAACTGTCCTCTATGTTTAGAAAACACGAAAAAAGGACAGGTAGAAACTCCATCCCTGAGCTTCAAATGTTGTTCTGTTTCAGGATCCAATATGGGTCGGTCCTTGGGACCAGAAGCTTACTCTTCCCACTTTTGGACTCATGCTGGACCCCATCTCCAGGGTACTTCCCTCTAGGGGGTGCTTTGAGCTGTTCTGTGCATTGTATTTACATGGAACCTGGTCATGTCTGGCTTTTTGGTTGTTGATTGGGATCAGTGATGGGATTCAAAAATTTTTTTACTACCGGTTCTGTAGGGGTGGCTTGGCTTGATGTGCGTGGCTTGGTGGGCATGGTTTGGTGGGTATGGCTTGGTGGGCAGGGCAGGGGAAGGTTACTGCAAAATCCCCATTCCCTCCACACCCCACTTAACCTGCTTTCCAGCTCCGTTCTCCTGTGCAGGGCAACTAAAGAAGATCCAGCCGATCAGCTGGGACTTGAGAGGCAGAGAAGAGATGGGGGCGGGGCCAGTCAGAGGTGGGATTTGCCGGTTTTCTGAACTACTCAAAATTTCCACTACCGGTTCTCCAGAACTGGTCAGAACCTGCTGAATACCATCTCTGCTTGCAACTCTGTAAATCTATCTATTTTTTGTGCACCCTGGTGGCACAGTGGTTAGAATGCAGCATTAAAGGTTTCCTCAATATTCACTCCAAGAGTTTGATCCTGAGCGGTTCAAGGTTGACTCGGCCTTCCATCCATCTGAGGACAGTAAAAAGAGCACCCAGATTGTTGGGGGAAATAGGCTGATTCTGTAAGCCACTCAGAGAGGTCTGTAAAGCATTGTGAAGGGGTACTTAAGTCTAAGTGCAATTACTACTGATATTACAAAATCCTTACCAGCTAACATTTTTTTGTTTCTTTCTGTTGAAAGAATTATTACCTTCTGACCCTAACCCTAACCCTAAATCCTAACCCTAACCCTGACCCAAAACGTAACCGAAACCTAAAACCGAACCCTAACCCTAACTTTAAATCCGACCCCTACCCGTAACCCTAACCCTAAATCCTAACCCTAACCCTAACCCAAAACCTAACCCTAATGCAAAACCTAACCCTAACCCTAACCCAAAACGTACCCCAAACCTAAAACCTAACCCTAACCCTAACCATACCCCTAACCCTAACCCTAACTCTAAATCCTACCCCTACCCCTACCCCTAAATCCTAACCCTAACCCTAACCCAAAACCTAACCCTAACCCAAAACGTAAACCTAAACCTAACCCTAAAACAAAACCTAACCCTAACCCAAAACCTAACCCTAACCCTAACACTACCACAGCCCTAACCCTAACCCTAACTCAAAACCTAACCCTAAACCTAATACTAACACTAACCCTAACCCTAACTCAAAATCCTAACCCTAACTCTAACCCTAATTCAAAATATTAACCCTAACCCTAACCCGAACCCTAACCCAAAACCTAACCCTAACCTAAAACCTAACCCTAACCTTAACCCTAACCCTAACCAAAAACCGAACTCGAAATCCTAACCCTAACCAAAAACCTAACTCTAACCTAAAACCTAACCCTAACCCTAACTCTAACCCAAAACCTAACTTTAAATCCTAATCCTAACCCTAACCGTAACTAAAAACCTAACCCTAAATCTAACCCTCACCCTAACCCTAATTCTAAATCCTAACCCTAACCCTAACCAAAAACCTAACCCTAACCAAAAACCTAACCCTAACCCTAACCCTAACCCTAACCCAAAACCTAACCCTAACCCTAACCCAAAACCTAACCCTAACCTAAAACCTAACCCTAACCCTAAGCCTAAGCCTAACCCTAACCCTAAACTAAAACCTAACCCGAACCCTAACCCTAAACCAAAACCTAACCCTAACTCTAAATCCTAACCCTAACACAAAACCTAACCCTAACCCAAAACCTAACCATAACCCTAACCGTAACACAAAACCTAGCCTAACCTAAAACATACCCCTAACCCTAACTCTAAATCCTAACTATAACCCTAACTCTAAATCCTAACCCTAACCCTAACCCAAAACCTAACCCTAACCCTAACGCAAAACCTAACCCTAACCTAAAACCTAACCCTAACTTTAAATCCTAACCCTAACCCTAACCCAAAACCTAACCCTAACCCTAACCCTAACTCTAAATCCTAACCCTAACCCTAACCCAAAACCTAACCCTAACCTAAAACCTAACCCTAACCCTAACTCTAAATCCTAACCCTAACCCAAAACCTAACTCTAAATATTAACACTAACCCCAACCCAAACCTAACCCTAACCTAAAACCTAACCGTAACCGTAACCCTAACCCTAACTCTGAATCCTAACCCTAACCCAAACCCTAACCCAAACCCTAACTGTAACCCTAACCCTAACGCAAAACCTAACCCTAACCTAAAACCTAACCCTAACCCTAAATCCTAACCCTAACCCAAAACCTAACCCTAACCCAAACCTAACCCTAACCTAACCCTAACTGAATCCTAACCCTAACCCAAACCCAAACCCAAACCCTAACCCTAACCCAAAATGTAACCCTAACCCTAACTCTAAATCCTAACCCTAACCCAAAACCTAACCCTAACCTAACCCTAACCCTAACCCTAAATCCTAAATCCTAACCCAAACCCT